ACATTATCGAAACAAGCATACCGTATTGCTATATTTTCAGTGTGGGCACAAGCTCTCCTTATTTCTGCAATGTGGACCGGTTCAAACATACTATTTTCTTACAAGTACACTATGTTTTTTTGGGTACCATACACTTTGATTCTAATTTTAATCACATGTGGCTGTAACATTGGTATTTGGCAAAAGTTTCAAACTGGAACAGGCGCCGCTTCACATCAAGAAAGCCGAGACTTACAAAACAAGCGCTTAACAAAGACTTTATTAATTGTATCTGGCCTTACTTTACTAGCTTGGCTGCCGCTAGTTTTGTTAAATTTACTAATGTTTGTTTGGTTTTTCCATGTACCAAGACGATTTTATCATGCAGTAAACCTTTTCAACTACTTGAACTCTTTTGTCAATCCAATTTTTTACGCATTAAGAATTGCTGAATTTCGACGAGCACTGGCTTTATGTTGTACAGGAAGACATTTGCAAGCAGCTGTAAACGCAAAGTTTTCTAAAACAAGGAAAGAGAGGCACAGAAGGACCGCTGAGTTTAGTCGTGAACTGGCTTTCGAACAGGATGTTATAGATATTGAGTTTAGTCGTGAACTGGCTTTCGAACAGGATGTTCTGGATACCAAACTGTAAATACATAATTTCAACACTAGCTGGAACTCGATTAAAATGAAATAGGTAGAATAGGAGCTGAATATTTTAATGTCAGGAAGTCGAAGTTAAAAACCTAGTAATGCCTCTCAAATGATGGAAATGACAACAGTAGTGTTAAGTAAAAATTGTTCAAATAAATGAGACATATAATTAGGCACTATTCGTGTACATTTAAGTCGGCAATACATGACAGGATAAGAACTGTGTCTTAGTTGGCAACTTCCAGAGTCATTACTGGTCAGGTATATTTTCTAAAGTAACCAGAACTTCAGAAACAGCAAAAAAGGAAGAAAAATAACTCTTTGAATCGCAGAAAAGCGCAAAATATAATTATGATATTAGGTTGTAGATTTATTCCATTTTAGGGAAACAGCTTCGTCAGATCTCATGACATGGAGCCCTCTGCTTTACTGTTTTATTTTTCATTGCGTTTTATAGTTGTTTGTTTTCTGTCTTTTTCATTGTTGATTCACCTCAGTAAAATTGACGGGAACGCTGCCTCTTTGCCCGATGGTAATAAACAAGAGAATAGTTTGCCAGTTTCTCCCATTGATCACTGACTCACACGGAGAAATGCTTGCTCATTTACACATAATACTAAGTGAGGACTTTCTATTTCTCGTTAAATATACTAGACAAGGAAGAAAAGTAATATAAAACATTTTAATTTGCATGATAAAGAATTTTGTAAAGATAAAGAGTTCGAACAGATGTACCAAAGGTGTCTGCACAAAGACACCTTATGGTATAGGATACGATCACAAAAGAAACAGTTCAAAATATAAACTATAAGATAAGTATACGATTACCATAACATTAGTATACGATCATGTGGTAAAAACAAAAAAGTGACACACGAGGCAGAGGCGAGGATGTCAGTAATCACGTTCTTACCTTATTTTGAAATCTTCTGTAATCTATTACTGTAGAGATCCACGGCAACGTGGAATATATTTGTCGTATATGACTAATATATACTTCCTCTAGTCTGACAATAGATAATAACGAAGAACCAATCAAGATGCATGTATCATTCATTTTATCACTTCGATATTCATATGCAGTTGTCAAAATTTGGAGTGGAAAAAGTAATTCCCACTTATCGTTACATTGAAATGTAAATCTCACCATTTCAAGGACTCACGCTGACATATTTGCATTAAGTATGGGAAGTGAAGCGATGAAATATCTTAACCAGGATGGGGAATTGACCTAGCTAGAATAGAGAGATGTTGGGTATAAACATAAGACATCAATTTTTTGAACGTGTGTGAAAAAAAAGTTATTACCGTCAGGTATTTATGTTTGAGGTTTTTAGGAAACTTTTCATAAATTAAATGAATATTGAGGGACAGATGTTCCAAGCTTTTCAAACATATCCTGGAGGCTAGGAAAGTAGACCGAAATAAAACTTTTGACAACTTACAGTTTCAATAGTCACCTGAAAAGGTTTGAGTTCACGGAAGGTTCCAGAGGAAATATATCCTTAGATAAACTATTTGAACATGAGTCAATAAAAAAAAGCATTACAGGAAGACAGTTTCTACTCTCTCCCATGCAGTTACCTTAAATATCACGAATATATCAATGGCTTTCTGAAGGATGAAACTGTCAGCAAGTTAGAGATTGATTGGAGACCGTCAAGAAACGCAGTTGATAATACAGACAAACCTGTATTTAACTGGGAATGGCGGATTGACCGCTTAATTCAGGCTGACCGCTTAAATACAGGCTCCACAGAAAAGAGATGTTATAAAAACGATATAAAAACGCCATTTTATGTCATAAGTGACAACCAAAAGAATATTTTTTACATTCTTTTGCTGACCACTTCATGTAAAAAACTTGCGCAAAAATATTACCAACATTGATTTCGGGGGAAATAAATGGATGAAATTTTGCTTGAAAGAGAATTCTTCGCTTAGTTTGAGCTGTACGGCTCCGCTCTCAGTGACCATTCAATACAAGTGAAAAATAATACAAACAAGCCGCATGGACTCAGTGAAGGGTGAGCACGACCGCTTAATAGAGATGACCGCTTAATAGAGTTGAGAAATTACAGTAGTAAAGGGCAACAAATTTCGGGACTTTGAAAACCGACCGTTAGATACAGGGTGACCGCTTAATACGGTGCCGCGTAATACATGCAGGCTGGACAGTACTTGGCTTTCCAAATTGAGCTTCAGACGCTTCAAAGCTAACGGTTGAAGAATAATTCAACCGAGGGAGGATTTAACGACCTGAAAAGGCTAAAAAAAGAAAAAAATAACACAACACTTCAGTGCAATGCAATTGAGATCTTTTGGCAAAGATGCGCTTAAAATTTGATTGTAGAGCGTTGATTTTCTTCCCAGAATTTCCGCAGCATCGAGTATTTTTATATTGCACCTACATCTGTTGACTCACGCAACGGATATCGCTGAGAATGAGAGACTGCTTGACGACTTAGGTCGGTCTTCTGTGTCATAAAGGTGGTAACCAATGGCCAACTTAACTTCGTAGAAACTCTCACCGATAGGTGAGTCTTTTGGTAAAGGGGTCGGTTTTAGTTTCTAAAGAAACTATGGTTCCGGGAGAGGGAAGGAATTACATGATAATTTGGTTTTAGCAACTGAGTTGATCATGTGAATTGGCCACCATAGAGAATTTTTAAAGCTGACGTTCCGTACGCAACGTTAGCTGTTGTTCAGAGCGAAATGATTTAAGTAGTAGGCATGCAGGTTGGAAAATGTTCAGACTTTCCGGTCAGAGATACAGGCATAGGAGGAAATGGAACCGCTTCACAGCGCTGTATGACCTTATGACTTTTTTGATTCTTTCTGATGCTCGCTGGTTCTCCTGAGATAGAGGAAATTCCTCACAGCTGAACTATTAATGGTTTATATTGACAGATATTCTAAATACTCCTACCTTTGCTCTTTGTACGTAGATATGTTGTTTTCATATTTCACATTTACCCCTGAACACCAGTCTTTTCAATGATGGAGGGTGGAGAATTTTGAGGGGGATCACATGGTTTTATCGGGCAGTGGAGGGGGGTCAGTCGTCAGCAACAAAGTTATAAGGGGGGAGGGGGGACTACAGAAAGTAATTAATTTTCCATTTCATTATTCGTTTCCCGTTGTTTCTTTCATTTTTAACGGTAATGATTAAAGGTTCCGAATGAATAGCAGCGGATCAGTTTGTAAAGCTTGAACGTTGAAGTTAGACAACGTAAATTGATTGCTCTCGACTTTTCGGATACTTAATGCAAATTCAACATCGACCAGTAATCGAATATAATGCACAACTCACGTCACTGCGTGACCTCATATCCTCTCCAAAAGGACACTGTCACTCAATCAATCAGTGATTGCATATAAACAAGTTATACCTATTTTCTTATTTCTTTTACCAACCAATTTACTTCGAACATCTTAATTAAAAAGAGTAGTGTGACATTACATATTTACCGGATCTTTTACCAAATTAAATGGATGTGATTTGCACGGTTCATTTAAGCGATAATAGTGCCGTAAAACCAGACTAATATCTTCGACGCTCACACTCAAGAATTTAATATTTATTTATTAGCTGTTTCGCACTTGGGAGATATATTCCGACAAACAAAATACAAACAATGATTACGGTTACACATTTCATTAGATTTCGTCTGTTTTATTACTTTAATTGCAGACAATACGATCGGGAAAGGAATATGCCGACAGAAACATCTGCAATTATTTTACCGTAGGCTTTTTGCTTAAAACTTTCCTTTTATAAATGTAAATATTTTGTAAATTTCTGGCATTGATGTCGTCCGTCATCATTGAATGATTTGAATGATAAAATGGAAAAAAATGAATGAAAAAAATGGTAAGATGCAAATGCATCAGAATATTTGTATTGTTGTTCCGCAGGTAAAAGTTTCAAATGCACCAAAATGTTTTTAATGTAGGTGAAAAATCAAGTGATCTGCATCCTGTTTAACAAATAGATCGATTCGTTTTAGGATGATCTACTTAAAAGCCTTTATAAAATAATACATAACCAGAAAGTGACGACGATTGTGTCAATAATTGACCACGGAATAGTTTGAGAGACCAGTGGTACATACTCGGTAAAAATTGACCAAAGTATCACCCTCCCCCCCCCCTACTCTCCCAAATAACCTTTTTTTGATAAGCGGCACTCTACCAAGGGAAATTAACAAAGAGAAAAGAACATCTGCTGTTTCTGTCATCAATAGGGTGTCACAGTGGAGCGTTTGCATTCGTAATTGGTCAGTAAACAGTAAACAGGAACACAACATATGTTGCAACCTGGCTTCTTCATTGTTACCTCAGAATCATCTCAAAATGACCAATATGTCTTCGTCGACTTCTGCTAGTGTCAGCCGACGAAACGATACAAATGATGTATATGATGGCACTCAGGGGGAAGGCATTGCATTGTGCAGCGCTTTAACACTAACATTTATTCTAGTTGTCGTGGGAAACTTACTCACCATAGTTATTTTTGCGAAGAACAAAAATATTCGCAAGAAATATTTGTTACTAGTTGTCAACATGGCGTTTGCTGATCTGTTCCTAGGAGCTTTGAGTTTACCAGTCTACATTTACGATGTCGGGTATGAGTTCCACCTATGGACCATGTTCGTTGGAAACTTATGGACCGACAAGCCTATCTTAATTTCCTACATGATCGTTGACACAGCTTTCTCGCAGGCCTCTCTTATTTCTGCAGTGTTCATAACGTGTGAAAGATTTTACGCCATACGTTGGCCGTTTAAGCATCGAACATTATCGACACAAGCATACCGCATAGCTATGTTCCTAGTGTGGGTACTAGCTCTCCTTATTTCCGCAACTGTGACCGGTTCATACCTATTATTTTCTTACAAGTACACTATGTTTTTTTGGGGGCCATATACTTTGATTCTCATTTTAATCACATGTGGCTGTAATATTGGTATCTGGAAAAAGTTTAAAACCGGAAGAGTCGCCGCTTCACATCAAGAAAGCCGAGAATTTCAAAACAAGCGCTTAACAAAGACTTTGTTAATTGTATCTGGCCTTACTTTACTCGCTTGGCTACCGCTAGTTTTGTCAAACTTTCTAATGCATGTTTGGTTTTTCCATGTACCAAAACGATTTTATGATATGGTAAACCTTTTCAACTACTTGAACTCTTTTGTCAATCCAATTTTTTACGCATTAAGAATTGCTGAGTTTCGACGAGCACTGGCTTTATGTTGTACAGGAAGACATGTGCAAGCAGCTGTAAACACAAAGCTTTCTAAAAGAAGGAAAGAGAGGCACAGAACGACCGCTGAGTTTAGTCGTGAAGTGGCTTTCGAACAGGATGTTATAGATATTGAGTTTAGTCGTGAACTGGCTTTCGAACAGGATGTTCTGGATACCAAACTGTAAATACATAACGGAACGACTGAGTTTAGTCGTGAACTGGCTCTTGAACAAGATGTTATGGATACTGAGATTAGTCATGAAGTGGCTTTTGAACAGAATGTTATGGATACCAAAATGTAAAACACATAATTCACTGGCTAGAAACTCGATTAAAATGAAATAAGTAGAACACGAGCTGAATATTTTAATGTCAGGAAGTTGAAGTTAAAAACCTAGTAATGCCTCTAAAATGATGGAAATGACAACGGTAGTGTTAAGTAAACATTGTTCAAATTAACGAGACAAGACGAGACTGTGTCTCAGTTGACAACTTCCAGAGTCATTACCGGTTAGGTATATTTTCTAAAGAAACCAGAACTTCAGAAACAGCAAATTTTTACAGTGATGAAATCTCCTAACCGGGAAGGGAAATTGACCTAGAATCGAGAGATGTCGAGTATAAACAGAAGAAATGAATTTTTTGAAAAAAATGGCAATTACCGTCAGATGATATTCGATATATGCTAAATTTTGGAAGGTATTTATGTTTGAGGTTGTTTGGAAACTTTTTAATTAATTAAACGAATATGGGTGGACAGATGTTCCAAGCTTTTCAAACACGACCTGGAGGCTAGGAAAGTAGACCGAAATAATTCTTTTGAAAACTTACGCTTTCAATAGTTGCTTGAAAAAGCTTGAATTTACGGAAGGTTCCAGAGGAAATATATCCATAGATAAACTATTTGAACATGTGTCATTAAAAAAAAAGCATTATAGGAAGACAGTATGTACTCTCTACCAGTTACCGTAAATAGCACGAATATATAAATAGCATTCTGAAGGATGAAACTGTCAGCAAGTTAGAGATTGATTAGAGAACGTCAAGAAACGCAGTTGGTAATACAGTCAAACCTGTATTTAACGGGGAATGGTGGATTGACCGCCTAAATACAGGTTCCACAAAATAGAGATGTTGTAACAAACGATAAAAAACGTCATTTTATATTCTAAGCGACAACCAAGAGAATATTTTTACAGAAATATTACCAACATTGATTTCGGGAGAAAAACATGGGGTAAGTTTTGCGGGAACTGCGAGAATTCTTAGTTTAATTTAAGTGGTTTCTCTCTGAGTGATCGTTCAATACAGGTGGAAATAATACAAACAAACCGCTAGGACTCAGTGAAGGGTGAGCACTACCGCTTAATAGAGTTGAGAAATTACAGTAGTAAAGTGGAACAAATTTCGAGACTTTGAAAACCGACCGTTAGATACAGGGTGACCGCTTAATACGGTGCCACAACACTTCAATGCAATGCCATTGAGATTTTTTTGGCAAAGATGCGGTTAAAATTCTATTGTAGAGCACTGATTTTCTTCTCAGTATTTCCGCAGTATCAAGTGTTTCTTTTTTTTTTTTTTTTTGCGCCTATATCTGTTGACTCACGCAACGGATATCGCTGAGAATGAGGGACTGCTTGACGACAGAAAGGGAACCGCTTCACAGCGCGCTATGACCTTATGATCTTTTGATTCTTTCTGATGCTCGCTGGTTCTCCTGAGATAGAGGACATTCCTCACAACTGAACTATTAAAGGTTTATATTGACAGATATTCTGAATACTCCTACGTTTGCTCTTTGTATGTAAATATGTTTCACATTTACCCCTGAACACCAGTCTTTTCAATGATGGAGGGTGGAGAATTTTGAGGGGGATCACATGGTTTTCAAGTATCGGGCACTGCAGGGGGGTCAGTTAGTTATAAAGTTATATAGGGGGAGGGGGGACTACAGAAAGTAATTAATTTTCCATTTCATTATTCGTTTCCCGTTGTTTCTTTCATTTTTAACTGTAATGATTAAAGGTTCCGAAGGAATAGCAGCGGATCAGTTTGTAAAGCTTGAACTTTGAAGTTAGACAACGTAAATTGATTGCTCTCGACTTTTCGGATACTTAATGCAAATTCAACATCAACCAGTAATCGAATATAATGCACAACTCACGTCACTGCGTGACCTCATTCCTCTCCAAAAGGACGCTGTCACTCAATCAATCAATGATTGCATATAAACAAGTTATACATATTTTCTTATTTCTTTTACCAACCAATTTACTTCCAACATCTTAATTAAAAAGAGCAATATGACATTAAATATTTACTGGATCTTTTACCAAAATAAATGGACGTGATTTGCATAGTTCATTTAAGCGATAATAGTGCCGTGAAACCAGACTAATATCTTCGACACGCACACTGAAGAATTTAATATTTATTTATAAGCTGTTCGGCACTTGGGAGATATATTCCGACAAACAAAATACAAACAATGATTACGGTTACCCATTGCAATAGATTTCATCTGCTTTATTACTTTAATCACAGACAATACGATCGGGAAAGGATTATGCCGACAGAAACATCTGCCATTATTTTACCGTAAACTTTTTTCTTAAAACTTACCTTTTACAAATGTAAATATTTTGTAAATTTCTGATGTCATCCGTTTTTAAAGTGGTTCTTTGAAATGTGGAAGCTGCACTCATATTTTGCAGATATTTGAGTATGTGTCGTGCACACTTGAAGAGGAAATAAATAGGATTAATATTGCTCAAATTTTGACAATTTTATGTTCAATTTAAACTTAAATGACTTTGATAACCACTTGAATCAAACGGAAATCATGATTTTATGACACAGGACCGACTTTAAATGAGAGGTTACAGAATTTGTTAATGTCTCTTTTCACGGCTGAACTCAAAGTCGGATGAGTTAGCCTCTGCAGGGACTTTGGATGTGCGGTGCGTCATGATCTACAAGCTGAAAAAAAAATACTCGGTGGGTGCTTCTTGGTAATGGGGATGTGCCGCTGGATGAGATGGTATTTTTCCCGACTGGATTGACTATATCAATAGAGTTACTAGAATGGGTTCGCACATTTTCGGGATTTTAAGAGTGAAAAAATTGCTTTAAGGAAGGATGTGAAAATTGTAAGAACCAAATGCACCAGAATATTTGTATTATTGTTCCGCAGGTAAAAGTTTCAAATGAACCAAAATGTTTTTAATGTATGTGAAAAATCAAGTGATCTGCATCGAGTTTAACAAATAGATTAATTTGTTATAGGACGATCTCCTTAACAGGCTTTATAAAGTAGATGCAATGCCAGAAAGTGACTAAGTTGGGATCAGGAAAATCACATATGCCTAAACGTGATTGCAATGGTGTCTATAATTGGCCACGAAATAGGTTGAGAGGCCAGCGGTACATACTCGGTAAAAATTGACCAAAGTACCCCCCCCCTCTCCTAGGACCTGGCTCTATTTCAAACCAAGACCCACACTCGTTTTCAAACTTGGTCTCTAAAAGTTGAACTTGGTTCGCGCTAAGCATAAGTACGCGTCAGAGCCAAAGACAAACTGGTAAATTTACCTCAAAAATTCAGCTCGAATGACGAAATTTGATATTATTGTGTTTCCCTTTGGTTTCATCGGAGTTGAAGCGAAAATGACTTTATTATGTCATCCGAAATATCATCCTCTTGCAGACTACCATCAATTTACGACCAGAATGATCAAATCCATATACGTTTTCCGATCGATGGATAGGGTATATTTATTTTCACGACTGGAGTTGATTATAGACTGGATTGCGTTTTCAATAGAGTTGATATATTGTACAGACAAGGGTGCCGCTTATGGAAAAAGTTATTAGAAACCTTGCTGATCTCAGTTAGATGTCGAACTCGGTCTTTACCATTTAAAATTTTCAAATCGTTGCTAGAAAAATAAAAAAAAAAAACCTGCACCTCAATGAACAACGGTTCAACCGACTCGGAGCCCAGTGCACTGACCACTGGACTGAACAAAAATGACTCTTTGAATCAGTTGACCACGCATGTTACAAGTAGCACCTTGTACGGTCGTACGGTCGTACATCCAAATTTTTTCGGCTTGATGGGTTACTACTATTTTGTATAATTATGGGGCTTCGCTCTGCGAGCTCCGCTATAATGCGGTAGGGGTTCTGATAGGTCAGCAGCCCATACGCAACAAAAATTGACCCTATTTTCAAATTCCCCTCCCCCAAGCTCAAAACCCATTGCCTTAGGCGGTGCATGTCCATGTATCCTATAAATAAACACTTTAAGTGACAGCTGCAGGTGCATGTTAAAACATGCATAATTTTTATTAAGAGAAATTTACAAAGAGAAAAAGACTTCCTTCTCCGCAACTCAATGGGCGATATCTGTCATCAATAAGGTGTTACGGTCAGTGGAGTGCTTGCATTCGTAATTGGTCAGTGAACAGTAAAGAGGCACAAAACATATGTTGTACCCTGGCTTCTTCATCGTTGTCTCAGTATCATCTCAAAATGAACAAAACGTCTTCGTCGTCTTCTGCTAGTGTCAGCCGACTAAACGATACAAATGATGTATATGATGGCACTCAGGTGGAAGGCATTGCATTGTGCAGCGCTTTAACGCTAACATTTATTCTAGTTGTCGTGGGAAACTTACTCACCATAATTATTTTTGCGAAGAACAAAAATATACGCAAGAAACATTTTTTTCTAGTTGTCAATATGGCGTTTGCTGGTCTGTTCCTAGGAGCTTTCAGTTTACCAGTATACATTTACATGTCGGCTATGGATTCCGCCTATGGACCACGTTCGTTGGAAACGTAGAGACCAACAAGCCTATCTTAATTTCCTACATGATCGTTGACACAGCTTTCTCGCAGGCCTCTCTTATTTCTGCAGTGTTCATAACGTGTGAAAGATTTTACGCCATACGTTGGCCGTTTAAGCATCGAACATTATCGACACAAGCATACCACATTGCTATATTTTCAGTGTGGGTACTAGCTCTCCTTATTTCCGCAACCGTGACCGGTTCAAACCTATTATTTTCTTACAAGTACATTGTGTTTTTTGGGGGGCCATACACTTTGATTCTCATTTTAATCACATATGGCTGTAATGTTGGTATTTGGCAAAAGTTTCAAACTGAAAGAGTCACCGCTTCACATCAAGAAAGCCGAGACTTACAAAACAAGCGCTTAACAAAGACTTTGTTAATTGTATCTGGCCTTACTTTACTAGCTTGGCTGCCGCTAGTTTTGTTACACTTACTGATGCATGTTTGGTTCTTCCATGTACCAAGACGATTTTATGATATGGTAAACCTTTTTAACTACTTTAACTCTTTTGTAAATCCAATTTTTTACGCATTAAGAATTGCTGAGTTTCGACGAGCACTGGCTTTATGTTGTACAGGAAGACATGTGCAAGCAGCTGTAGACACAAAGTTTTCTAAAAGAAGGAAAGAGAGGCACAGAACGACCGCTGAGTTTAGTCGTGAAGTGGCTTTCGAACAGGATGTTATGGATACTGAGTTTAGTCGTGAACTGGCTTTCGAACAGAATGTTATGGATACTGAGTTTAGTCGTGAAGTGGCTTTCGAACAGGATGTTCTGGATACTGAGTTTAGTATTGAACTGGCTTTTGAACAGGATGTTTTGGATACCAAACTGTAAAACACATCATTCAAACACTTGCTAGAAACTCGATTAAGACGAAAATAGGTAGAACACGAGCTAAATATTTTATTAATGTCAGGAAGTTGAAGTTAAAAACCTAACAATGCCTCTAAAATGATGGAAATGACATCGGTAGTGTTAAGTATAATTATTCAAACAAATGAGACATTAAACATTAAATATTCATCACGATAAATAACTGCAACCTTTTCTGCGAAATGTGACATTGAATAAGGCACCATTCTTTCACGTTTCAATTTAAGTATCGAAGAGACGGCCTTGTCTATACAATCACGCCTTTATGTTTCTACTTATGTCAAAGAATGTTGTGTATGTGTATGTAATAGAGTCTTAAAGTGAGATTATGAGTTTGGGAGTTGATAGCCTGCCGAAGAGGCCTAATGTTTATTATTATTCAAGCGAATGGAAGAAAACACAACTGAGGTGAGCGTGAAGCGCGAGTCACACGTAAGGGGAGCAGGGGCACAAAAAAAAGTTAGTAATTTTTGCGCTTCTTCTCCAGTCTGTCCTAACCCTTGCTTACACCTCATACTCAGAGAGGACTTTCCATTTCTCATTTAAGATATTGGACTATGGCAGAGAAGTAATATAAAACATTGTAATTTGCATGAAAAAGAATCCGTAGAGATAAAAAGTTGGAACAGATGTACCAAATGTGTTTGCACAAGGACTCCATATGGTATAGAGTACGATCACGAAAGAAACAATTCAACAAATAAACTATAAGATTAGTATACGATCACAGATGACGCGATCGAAATGTAGTAAGAACAGGAAAGTGACACACGAGGCAGAGCCGAGCGTGTCATTAATCATGTTCTTACCATATTTAGATATCTTCTGTAATCTATTTCTGTAGACACTCACGGTAATTTGTCGTATGACTAAAAAGTAAAATGTTGTTAAAGGTGACGTCATCCTTGCGTCTGTCCTCAATCAGCCAATCAATCAATCATCTCAATTAGGTCGGTAAAAGACGGTCAGGCAACACACCAACCACTTACAAAATATAGAAGTAAAAATTGCAAGCTACAAGAAGTACAATACAGAATGAAAAGTTAACTATACAAATTGACACGCTCTTATTAAGGTAATGAACTAAGGTCATTCCTAAATTCTGTAAGAGACGTAATATTAGGCATATCAGGGAGGAGCTGATTCCAGTCTTTAACAGTGCTTGGGAAAAAAAGAAGATTTGAACATTTTGATTTGAAGATTTTCTTACATTGAGGTTCAAGAAGCTTAAACCTATGGCTACTCCTGATACGAGTCTCATCACTTAAATTTAAAAAGCGGCAATCTTAATGTCAACTAAACCATAAATAACTTTATTCATGAAGATCAAGCGAGATTATTTTCTCCTTTCTACAAGAGTGCAAAGTACCTCTTTTCTAGCATGGACGTGACGATTGACGACCAGTCATCAGTAATCGTTTGTACAAAAACGGGTTGTTGCTCTTTGCACTTTCTCTAGTCTGACAATAGATATACCAAAGAATCAATCAAAAATGCATGTATTATTCAGCTTATAGCATCTATATTCATATGCAGTTAATAAAATTTGTAGTGGAAAAAGTAATTCCTACTTATCTTCACACTGAAATGTAAATCTCCTCACTTCAAGGACTCACGCTGACGCATGCGCAATCAAGTATGCGAAATAAAGCGAGGAAATCTCCTAACCAGGAAGGGGAATTGATCTAAAACGAGAGATGTCGAGTATAAACAGAAGAAATCAAACTTTTCAACCTTTGTGAAAGAAAAATGGTGAATACCGTCAAATGGTATTCGATATATGCCAAAATTTTGTCAGGTATTTGTGTTTGAGGTTGTAAGTAAACTTTTCATAAATTAAACGAAAATTGAGGGACAGACATTCCAAGCTTTTCAAACACGTCCTGGAGGCTAGGAAAGTAGACCGAAATAAAACTTTTGACAACTTACACTTTCAATAGTCGCCTTAAAAAGCTTAAATTTACGCAAGTTTCCAGAGGAAAAGTATCCTTAGATAGACTATTTGAACATGTGTCAATAAAAAATGGCATTACATGAAAAAAGTTTCTACTCTCTACCAGTTACCCTAAATAGCACGAATATATCAATAACTTTCTGGAGGATGAAATTGTTAGGAAGTTAGAGATTGATTGCAGCCTCTCTGCAAGGACTTCGGATATGCGATGCGTCATGATCTTCAAGCTGGAAAAAATTACTCGGTGGGTACTTCCTGGTAATGGGGATGTGCCGCTGGGTGAGGTCGCATTTTCACGACTGAATTGACTATGTCAATAGAGTTACTATATTTGGGGTCGCACATTTTCGGGATTTTAAGAGTAAGAAAATTGCTTTAAGTAGGGATGTGAAAATGGTAAGATTCAAATGCACCAGAATATTTGTATTGATGTACCGCAAATAAAAGTTTCAAACGCACCAAAATGTTTTTAATGTAAGTAAAAAATCAAATGATCTGCATCCTGTTTAAGAAATTAATCAATTCGTTTTAGGATGATCTACTTAACAGGCTTTATAAAGTAGATGCATAACCATTGATAACCATAATGTGACTGACGGTTGGGAGCAGGAAAATTACATATGTTCACAAATGACTGTGATTGTGTCTATAATTAGTCACGGAATAGGTTGAGGGGCCAGTGGTACCTACTCTGTAAAAATTGACCGAAGTATCCCCCCTCCTCTCTCTCTCTATTTTCTTTCCCTTTGGTTTCATCGGAGTTGAAACGAAAATTACTTTAGTATGTCCTCCTACATGTCATCCTCTTACAGACTACCATCAATTTACGATCAGAATGATCAAATCCATAAACGTTTTCCGATCGATGGATAGGGTATGCTTATTTTCACGACTGGGGTTGACTGTACATGCCATACACTGGATTTCGTTTTCAATAGAGTTCATATATGAGGGTCTGAATGGGGTTTAGTGTTTAGTGTTATTTGCCCATATTTTTTAGTGTTTACTGTTAAATTGGCCATTTTTTTAATGGTTACTGTTCTTGAAAAAAAATATTGTTTAGTGTTTGAAAGGAGACCCCAAAGTCTTTTTAGCATTTCAAATTTTATCCGCCCTTTTAAATTCTGCAAGAAAATCAAGAAAATCAGTCGCGAACAGTGAGCTAAAGCTGAAATGCTCTTGTCCTTAGAACTGATAGTGCGCCTTACTAGACCCTCAGTACTGGATGTACTTAAGGGAATACGTTTGGTAATCCACACAATAGTTCCTGAAAAGTATCACTTCTGGAAATCCATCCAAAGTGGTGTTTGCAAAAGATCAATTGCGCTTGAAATTGGGCCCCAAGGCAAAGTACTGGTGTTAGACTACGATTTCGACTCTCGAGAGTCTCGCCTCGTAGAACTGCGTTTACACCGACCAGTCGATGTAAATGTTCGGAAGGAAGTATTCAAGGATGCGCGGGACCTATGCTTTACCAATGGCGTAGTCTTCGTTGCAGAGAGAGGCTCATCAGCAATCCGTTTCATTGAATTGAAAAGCGAAGTACTTATAAAACCCGAACACCTAAAATCGCGAGCTGATTTGCTTTCGCAGCTTAGTCGTATCGGCTTGTCACTTGAGGATACAGGTACAGGTACAGTTCTACGGAAGCGGTTGACGACACATCTGAGATCTTTAGCTGCACAAGTCGAGAATAAAGAAATTGTCCAGATTAATCCACCTTTAAGTAAACTAACTTCCATCTGAGCGGCAAGTAAGGATATCCTCTTGTGTGCAGATGATGAGTAGAGGAGCATAATGCAGCTGGAATTAGAGTACAATGGAGTGGCTATCATCGGTAGTAGGCTCAGACAGATAAACTACCCCAATGACGTAACAAGTGTTGAATCTCTTAATGTTCTGCGGCAATCAGCATACTTGGCTGCAACTAGTGCAGCTGGAGGGTTATATGGTTGTAACCTCGATTCTGTCAATGTTTAGCGACTCTTGCGGAATTCTTCAGATTCTTGCAAGGAAATCAAGTGGCTGTATGGTTATGAGGGCAGCATCGTTTTCACCGAAAACAAAGATCACAAGGGTAAGACCTTTAATCCCTTAAGTGCAACAGTCGAGACCTTGTTGGGTACTGGCCATGAAGGAACCGCTGATGGAACTGAAGAAAGCTGCTCATTTACATAAGTTCATGCAATCTGTTCCTTGCAGAACACTATTTTTTTTCTGATATAGCTGCTAGAACAATCAAACTAGTTTCGGGGCTTACTGACACAGTGTCCTTTCTTCGCAACGTCGGATGTCTTCATGATAGTTTTGGAATTGGTGCACGTACGATCGACGCGGTCCAATTATCTCTTCAAGATGCTGTGTGCAATGTTTCATCTGTAAATGCTTATATTAAAAACACAGTCGCTGAAGTAAGGCAGTACTATAAAATGAAAGAAACGGCAGCAACAGATGGCCCTGAAGGAACTGTTTCCAGCAAAACACAGGAGTCATTGGTACTTCTCGAACGAGGTACGGAACAGCTACGAGATAACGTTAAGAATGTAAACGAGGACTATCTTGGTGACATTGACCTGTGTACGCTGTTAACAACTCAGGTGGAGAACCTTCATGCAGTCTCCCACTCATCGCGTAGAATGCCTATTGTTCTCGGGACATTTACTTGCAGTAGCGAAAAAATTATAGATCCGTAATATTAGCGGCGAAAGATATTCTGGAGAGCTTTGATTGGTCAAAGATTACGCGCTTATTCCTCCTCAGGGAATAATGCTTAAGCTCATTAACTTGTCAAGGCGGAGCTACGAAACAATAGCTTAGAAAGTTATTGTTTATGCTATTGTTAGAAGAATATCACACATTACGTGCGCGTGTTACAACCTGGAATAGCGTTCGATTTTGAGACCGTTCGTTACATATTCATCTATTTCTTCATCTTACTCAGTAAACACTTTGGTTCTATCACTACCCGTTTAGGATTTGATTTTCATTGGAAAAATTTACCTGCACAATTTTTCTAAAATAGAAAGGAGGTTATGAGGTCTGTAGGTCACTCTGACACTTGTTTCTTTGAAACGAAATAAAAGTCACACACGAGGCAGCCGGTAAAAGAGAGCAACTCACGTGCCCTCTGTCTACTCCTCGTGTTTCAGCTGCCGGCTGGTTGGTTCCCGTGCAGGTTCTCTTTGTTTGCGTCTCACAAGCTTTTAGTTCGCCTTTTTCCTTTGGGGAGAAAAAGACTGCTACACGGGGTAGCAAAAAAATTTGTCTTACTTCTGTTCACGCGCTTTATTTGCATTCTACTATCTTCGCTAACCAAAGGTAAAGTTTTCATTGTTTGGTGATGGGGGAGGCCTAGCGGCCTCCCTATAATGTCTACTGATTATCAGTCGACATGGCCCTTTGGAGTCAAAGCTTCCAAAAACTTTTTACCCCAAAGGGCATTTTGTTCTGCTTTTCAGTATGCTCAAGTATTTGGAAGTCTTATTATCCAGTGCCCAAATCCGGTGTGGAGTTACGGGACGTAGATTTGATGAAACCTCCTCCAGCTGGTAACGTTGATCCCAACATTGAGGCAGCCATGAAGGAACTAGTTGACAGGTATCGACCTGTCAGGCAAAGGACGGTAAGACAAAGCGGGAGCCCTGCCGCTGGCTGTATATTCCAGTACGTCATCGTGTACTAGAGTAACATTCCAAGAGGATGTTCAAGACGATCCAGGGACAGGCAATAAAGAACGAGTCGACCAGGATACAAATATTCCACGAGCTACAAACGAAGTACCGAGAATCACCTTTGTTGACAAAAGCATGCTCAGAGTTGTCGCAGTTGGTGGCGTGACAGACCTGCCCGAGCAAGAGGATGAATTCGACACCGACTCGGAGAGCGATGCGGACAATGATACAGACATAACGTTCAGCAGATTTGGTCGCACCACCCGCGCTCATTTCCGCCTTGAACTCTAGAAAAAATTGGGACTATCAGGACAATCAGGACTATTCAGGTATGGAATATGATTAAATGTTTTTGGCCAGGATGGAGTGACATGTCTGTTATTTTTGTTGACCATCATACATTGTGAGTAATGTAGCCGATCTTATTGGTAAAAGAAATATTTTGTTATTGCATTCATTACTAGTCAAATTTAAACACTCATTTATGTTAACTTTCATTTTCCTTGTAATTTTCTCTTTTTGTTTACAGTGTGGATACCCTAACTGGGACCATCTCACAAAGCTAACCAATCATATTGAGGTATTCATACAAAAGATGACAATCCGTAAATTTGCTTAATGTTACTTTTTATTTCGATGTTCTACTATCCCATTGGCGTTTGATTTGAATATCGTAATCTGATTTGTTACTGATATATTCTCTTTAAGTGGTCACGGTTGATGTATCCTCGCTGTAAAAGCGCTTAAGAATAGAACTGTTATGAGTTATACAAGCCAAATCTGCGGTAGTCTTCAAATATCGTCGATCATAAGTCTGTTGACATCTTTGGCAGTCTCAGTGGACATCTTCGGCAGTCTTTGGACATCTTCGGCAGTGTTCGGACATTTTCGGCAGCCTTCAGACATATTCGACAGCTTTCGGACATCTTCGGCAGCTTTCGGATATCTTCCTCACTCTTCGGAAGTCTTGAAATAATCCCGAATTGTTGGAAAATGGCCAAAAAAACTTCTTCGATACAATAAATATAGGCCCAACATAGATATTTCTCCTTTTAGGGCGTAGTTTGTTTGTTTATGGGAAAAAATAATGTTTCACAGAATTTTTTAATGTTAATGTTAAAATGGCTAAAAATTAACTGTTTAATGTTATATAGCTAAAAAAAATAATTGTTTAGTGTTATCGAAGTACCCCCATTCAGACCCTCATATATTGGGGTCACATATTTTCGGGACTTTGGAATGAAGAAAATTTCTGGTAAGTAGGTATTTAAAAATAATAAGAAGAATCGCGGTTCAATTTTGTTACCGTATCACCAAAAGTGACTAAGATGGGGTCTATAATTGGCTACAGAATAGACTATAATGCGGTTGGGATTCTGATAGGTCAGCAGCCATACGCAACAAAAATTGACCCTATTTCCAGGTTCCTCTCCCCCTGACCTTAGAACCCATTACCTTAGGCGGTGCATGTCTATGTACCCTATCTTAGGGTACATAGGGCTCCTCATGAATTAATTTCTGTCAGATTAGGGGATCCCATTTAATAGATGTTCCAGCAGTGGAGAAGTGATGTTTTTATTGTAATCAATTTCTTTTTCCGCATAATACTGCTTCCCACCTGGCCCCGACTTTGTTTCTGCAGTCGTTGTGGGTCCATTAGTCGACGGTAAATATGATAACAGAATTATATATAAATAGAAATAAAAATAATAAATCTGTATTGTTTCACTTATTAAGAGTACTCTATACTCAAATAACCGGAGCAGTATAGAATTGTAAAAATGGAGAGTTACATATAAAGATGGTAATGCACAACAAGAGAATATAGAAGACTTTATATTCTCTTGGGCATGGATATATGTTACAAAGATTTTAGACACAAGAAGGGCATTGACCATCATAAACCGACCTTTTCGGGCTCACCATGCTTCACTTTGCATAATCGAAGAATATTTAAATTAAAGAGATCGGGAAACTTAGCTTAACCCAATATTCAGACATTATCCAGCGGAAATGTAGTGAGAATATTGAAACTTATCAGGTTGCTATCTTGATCTAATAGCAAATTCTTGTAACTAATTTACAAGGAAATGTATAGTAGTTAGAAGGGAGAATTAGCAATCAGATCTTAGGAGTTAGGAGTTAAAGGGTTAAATGAATACCCACTCGTTCAGAACGCGGGTTATACAGGTTACCATGTAATGGAAAGGTTGCCTTGGCTGTTATAAAAATGTAAAGTTTTTTTTTCTTTTATCCCAGCTAGGTCATCAAACCTATTTTTTAATGAGAAAGTCCAATATTGGAACTGAAATGGAGAGTTTCTTCAATTTTTATGATTAATAATATACATGAAAAAATTACTCAGTTCTGATTGGTTAAGATAAATGCAGTTTTCAGGTAATTCAGTGCAGAAGAGAGTTAATTTAGTGTAGAAGAGGGTGAATTCAGTGCAAAGAAAGTAACAAATCAGACATTCTGATCGGTCAATAATCAAAGAAACTCACAGGTAGCCAATCAAATGCGAGCTTTGGATGTCGCAACAAAATTTGAAAATTTGCGAGCGAAACAATGGCCGGCGTTTTAACTAGGTTTCCTTTCGCCACCGCAGCTGAAAAACCGCTCAAACAACGAAAACACTGTAAAAAGCACTGCGTTTTGGTTGTCGGTTTGGAAAAAGTGGTTTTTAGAGAAGGGAATTGCCAAGGAAATCGAAAATTACAAGCGGACCCAGCTTAACACTTTGCTCGAGCGATCCAACGCCGAGATTAAAAACAAACATGGTTAAACCTCGGAAACGATGATTCCATTTCATCGAAAGTGATTCGGACACAGACTGAACAATTACTTGAACTGTTTAGCCGGACTTAGAACTTTTTTGCGCCTTAAAGATGTGAAGATATAACTGCATATTATTGTTTTGATCGTACGCGATTGTTTTGACCGAACGCACGGTTTGAATAAATTATTATTTTTGCACTTGATGCGCGCGCTTTGCTTATGCTTAATTATGATAGGCAATCTCGTATTTTCCATGTATATTATTAACACGTAATCACATGATTGTTCTAGTGCAATTTGGGATAAACAAGCACTTGTTAATTTTTGCACAGACCACAAATTTACTCGTGCTTGTTTATTCCAAATTGCACTCAAATTCATGTGATTACTTACAAATTGAACCGTTGCTCAGTGAAGTGCATGTTTTGTTTTGTTTATTTTTTTTTTAGCAAAGATTTGAAAAATTTACATGATAAAGACCGAGTTCGATACCTAACTGACATCAGCACGGTTTTTAATAACTTTTTCCAATAAGCGGCACTATTGTCTGTGCAATAGTCTCAAAGGCCTGCTTGCGGGATAAACAAACGACGGTGAGAGCTCTACATCTATTTAACAATGGCTCACCCATCAGAACGCGTGAATTTATACAAGCGAATAGAGGGGTAAGTTTCTAAAGAAACTGTGGTGCTGCGTCGGTGGGAGAGTAGAGCAGGTAATTTAGTGTTAACAACTGGGTTGAAAACGTAAATTAGCCACCGTAAAGGGTAAAAAAGCTGACGTTTCGAGCGTTAGCCCTTCGTCAATCGCTCTGACGAAGGGCTAACGCTCAAAACGTCAGCTTTTTTACCCTTTACGGTGGCTAATTTACGTTTTCAACCCAGTTGTTAACACTAAATTACCATTTATACAAGCACCGCACTAAGGGTAAATAGACACTTTTAAGTGACAACTGCAGATGCTTGTCAAAACATGCACCCGTAGCTGTCACATATTACTTTTCTGTAATAACGGTCATAAAGATCATCATTTTTATTAAGAGAAATTTTCAAAGAAAACTTCCTATTGTGCACGCTCATAACGACAGAAAACATATCCCTCGAGAAAAAAATTTTCCATCGGGTTTAAAATGTTATAAAACAATTGGTTCATGCGTCAGCTGTGCGTTCATCGAGATATGAAGCAAGTCACAGTCTTAAGTCACAGTCAGTAGAGCGCAAGTATTCGTAACTGGTCATTGAACAGTACAGAGGAACACAACATATGTTGCAACCAGGCTTCTCCATCGTTGTCTCAAAATGACCAATACGTCTTCGACGTCTTCTGCTAGTGTCAGCCGACGAAACGATACAAATGATGCATATGATGGTACTCAGGGGGAAGGCATTGCGTTGTGCAGCGCTCTAACGCTAACATCTATTCTAGTTGTCGTGGGAAACTTACTCACCATAACTATTTTTGCGAAAAACAAAAGTTTCGCAAGAAATACTTGTTGCTCGTTGTCAATATGGCGTTTGCTGATCTGTTCCTAGGAGCTTTGAGTTTACCAGTATACATTTACGATGTCGGGTATGAGTTCCACCTATGGACCACGTTCGTTGGAAACTTATGGACCTACAAGCCTATCTTAATTCCCTACATGATCGTTGACACAGCTTTCTCGCAGGCCTCTCTTATTTCTGCAGTGTTCATAACGTGTGAAAGATTTTACGCCATACGTTGGCCGTTTAAGCATCGAAACTTATCGACACAAGCATATCGCATTGCCATATTTTCAGTGTGGGTACTGGCTCTCCTTATTTCCGCAACCATGACCGGTTCAAACCTATTATTTTCTTACAAGTACACTGTGTTTTTTTGGGGGCCGTACACTTTGATTCTAATTTTAATCACATGTGGCTGTAACATTGGCATTTGGCAAAAGTTTCAAACTGCAAGAGTCGCCGCTTCACATCAAGAAAGCCGAGACTTACAAAACAAGCGCTTAACAAAGACTTTGTTAATTGTATCTGGCCTTACTTTACTCGCTTGGCTGCCGTTAGTTTTGTTAAACTTTCTAATGTTTGTTTGGGTTTTCCATGTACCAAGACGATTTTATGATATGGTAAACCTTTTCAACTACTTTAACTCCTTTGTCAATCCAATTTTTTACGCATTAAGAATTGCTGAGTTTCGACGAGCACTGGCTTTATGTTGTACAGGAAGACATGTACAAGCAGCTGTAAACACAAAGCTTTCTAAAAGAAGGAAAGAGAGGCACAGAAGGACCGCTGAGTTTAGTGATGACCTGGCTTTCGAACAGAATGTTCTGGATACCAAAATGTAAAACATATAATTCAAACACTAGCTGGAACTCGATTAAAATGAAATAGGTAGAACAGGAGCTGAATATTTTAATGTCAGGAAGTCGAAGTTAAAAACCTAGTAATGCCTCTCAAATGATGGAAATGACAACAGTAGTGTTAAGTAAAAATTGTTCAAATAAATGAGACATATAATTAGGCACTATTCGTGTACATTTAAGTCAGCAATACATGACAGGATAAAAACTGTGTCTTAGTTGACGACTTCAAGGGTCATTACCGGTCAGGTATATTTTCTAAAGTAACCAGAACTTCAGAAACAGCAAAAAAGGAAGAAAAATGACTCTTTGAGTCGCAGAAAAGCGCGAAATATAATTATGATATTAGGTTGTAGATTTATTCCATTTTAGGGAAACAGCTTCGTCAGCTCTTATGACATGAAGCCCTCTGCTTTACTGTTTTATTTTTCATCGTGTTTTATAGTTGTTTGTTTTCTGTCTTTTTCATTGTTGATTCACCTCAGTAAAATTGACGGGAAGGCTGGCTCTTTGCCCGATGGTAGTAAACAAGATAATAGTTTGCCAGTTTCTCCCATTGATTGCTGACTCACACGGAGAAATGCTTGCTCATTTACACATAATACTAAGTGAGGACTTTCTATTTCTCGTTAAATATACTATACAAGGCAGAAAAGTACTATAAAACATTTTAATTTGCATGATAAAGGATTTGTAAAGATAAAGAGCTCGAACAGATGTACCAAAGATGTCTGCACAAAGACACCTTATGGTATAGGGTACGATCACAAAAGAAACAGTTCAAAACATAAACTATAAGATAAATATACGATTACTATAAGATTAGTATACGATCATGTGGTAAAAACAAAAAAGTGACACACGAGGCAGAGGCGAGGATGTCATTAATCACGTTCTTGCCTTATTTTGACATCTTCTGTAATCTATTACTGTAGAGATCCACAGCAACGTGTAATATAATTGTCATATATGACAACCAACCAATCAAGATGCATGTATCATTCATTTTATCGCTTCGATATTCATATGCAGTTGTTAAAATTTGAAGTGGAAAAAATAATTCCTACTTATCTTTACATTGAAATGTAAATCTCACCATTTCAAGGACTCACGCTGACGCATATGCATTACGTATGGGTAGTGAAGCGATGAAAACTCCTAACCAGGATGGGGAATTAACCTAGCTAGAATCGAGAGATGTTGTGTATAAACAGAAGACATCAATTTTTTGAACGTGTGTGAAAAAAAAGTTATTGCCGTCAGATGATATTCTACATATGCCAAATTTTTGGCAGGTATTTATGTTTGAGGTTTTTAGGAAACTTTTCATAAATTAAACGAATACGGAGGGACAGATGTTCCAAGCTTTTCGAACACGTCCTGGAGGCTAGGAAAGTAGACCGAAATAAAACTTTTGATAACTTACACTTTCAATAGTTGCTTGAAAAAGCTTGAATTTACGGAAGGTTCCAGAGGAAATATATCCTTAGATAAACTATTTGAACATGTGTCAATAAAAAATAGCATTACAGGAAGACAGTTTCTACTCTCTACCCGTTACCTTAAATATCACGAATATATCAATGGCTTTCTGAAGGATGAAACTGTCAGCAAGTTAGAGATTGATTGGAGACCGTCAAGAAAAGCAGTTGGTAATACAGTCAAACCTGTATTTAACGGGGTATGGCGGATTGACCGCTTAAATCAGGTTGACCGCTTAAATACAGGCTCCACAGAATAGAGAAGTTATAAAAAACGATAAAAAACGCCATTTTATGTCATAAGTGACAACCAAGAGAATATTTTTACATTCTTTTGCAGACCACTTCATGTAAAAAATATTACCAACATTGATTTCGGGGGAAATAAATGGATGAAATTTTGCTTGAAAGAGAAATCTTCGCTTAGTTTGAGCTGTACGGTTCCGCTCTCAGTGACCGTTCAATACAAGTGGAAAATAGTACAAACAAGCCGCAAGGACTCAGGGAAGGGTGAGCACAACCGCTTAATAGAGATGACGCTTAATAGAGCTGACAAATTACAGTAGTAAAGGGCAACAAATTTCGGGACTTTGAAAACCAACCGTTAGATACAGGGTGACCGCTTAATACGGTGCCGCTTTATACATGCAGGTTGGACTGTACACGGCTTTCCAAATTGAGCTTGAGACGCTTCAAAGCTAACGGTTGAAGAATAATTCAACCGAGGGAGGATTTAACGACCTGAAGAGGCTAAAAAAGGAAAAAAAAACACAGCACTTCAGTGCAGTGCAATTGATATTTTTTGGCAAAGATGCGCTCAAAATTTGATTGTAGAGCGTTGATTTTCTTCCCAGAATTTCCGCAGCATCGAGTATTTTTATATTGCGCCTACATCTGTTGACTCACGCAACGGATATCGCTGAGAATGAGAGACTGCTTGACGACTTAGGTCGGTCTTCTGTGTCATAAAGGTGGTAACCAATGGCCAACTTAACTTCGTCGAAACTCTCACCGATAGGTGAGTTTTTTGGTAAAGGGGTCGGTTTCAGTTTCTAAAGAAACTATGGTTCCGGGAGGGGGAAGGAATTATATGATAATTTGGTTTTAGCAACTGAGTTGATCATGTGAATTGGCCACCATAGAGAGTTTGTTAAGCTGACGTTCCGAACGTAACGTCAGCTGTTATTCAGAGCGAAATGAGTTTAGTAGTAGGCACGCAAGTGGGGAAATTTTCAGACTTTCCGGTCAGAGATACAGGCATAGGAGGAAATGGAACCTTTTCACAGCGCTCTATGACCCTATGACCTTTTTATTCTTTCTGATGCTCGCTGGTTCTCCTGTGATAGAGGACATTCCTCACAACTGAACAATTAGTGGTTTATATTGACAGATATTCTGAATACTCCTACGTTTGCTCTTTGTAGGTAAATATGTTGTTTTTCATATTTCACATTTACCCCTGAACACCAGTCTTATCAATGATGGAGGGTGGAGAATTTTGAGGGGGATCACATGGTTTTATCGAGCAGTGGAGGGGGGTCAGTCGTCAACAACAAAGTTATAAGGGGGGAGGGGGGACTACAGAAAGTAATTAATTTTCCATTTCATTATTCGTTTCCCGTTGTTTCTTTCATTTTTAACGGTAATGATTAAAGGTTCCGAATGAATAGCAGCGGATCAGTTTGTAAAGCTTGAACGTTGAAGTTAGACAACGTAAATTGATTGCTCTCGACTTTTCGGATACTTAATGGAAATTCAACATCGACCAGTAATCGAATATAATGCACAACTCACGTCACTGCGTGACCTCATATCCTCTCCAAAAGGACACTGTCACTCAATCAATCAGTGATTGCATATAAACAAGTTATACATATTTTCTTATTTCTTTTACCAACCAATTTACTTCGAACATCTTAATTAAAAAGAGTAGTGTGACATTACATATTTACCGGATCTTTTACCAAATTAAATGGATGTGATTTGCACGGTTCATTTAAGCGATAATCGTGCCGTAAAACCAGACTAATATCTTCGACGCTCACACTCAAGAATTTAATATTTATTTATTAGCTGTTCCGCACTTGGGAGATATATTCCGACAAACAAAATACAAACAATGATTACGGTTACACATTTCATTAGATTTCGTCTGTTTTATTAGTTTAATTGCAGACAATACGATCGGGAAAGGAATATGCCGACAGAAACATCTGCAATTATTTTACCGTAAGCTTTTTGCTTAAAACTTTCCTTTCATAAATGTAAATATTTTGTAAATTTCTGGCATTGATGTCGTCCGTCATCATTGAATGATTTGAATGATAAAATGGAAAAAAATGAACGAAAAAAATGGTAAGATGCAAATGTATCAGAATATTTGTATTGTTGTTCCGCAGGTAAAAGTTTCAAATGCACCAAAATGTTTTTAATGTAGGTGAAAAATCAAGTGATCTGCATCCTGTTTAACAAATAGATCGATTCGTTTTAGGATGATCTACTTAACAGCCTTTATAAAATAATACATAACTAGAAAGTGACGACGATTGTGTCAATAATTGGCCACGGAATAGTTTGAGAGACCAGTGGTACATACTCGGTAAAAATTGACCGAAGTATTACCCTCCTCCCCCCCCCCCTCCTCTCCCAAATAACCTTTTTTTTAATAAGCGGCACTCTACCAAGGGAAATTAACAAAGAGAAAAGAACATCTGCTGTTTCTGTCATCAATAGGGTGTCACAGTGGAGCGTTTGCATTCGTAATTGGTCAGTGAACAGTAAAAAGGAACACAACATTTGTTGCAACCTGGCTTCTTCATTGTTACCTCAGAATCATCTCAAAATGACCAATATGTCTTCGTCGACTTCTGCTGGTGTCAGCCGACGAAACGATACAAATGATGTATATGATGGCACTCAGGGGGAAGGCATTGCATTGTGCAGCGCTTTAACGCTAACATTTATTCTAGTTGTCGTGGGAAACTTACTCACCATAGTTGTTTTTGCGAAGAACAAAAATATTCGCAAGAAATATTTGTTACTAGTTGTCAACATGGCGTTTGCTGATCTGTTCTTAGGAGCTTTGAGTTTACCAGTATACATTTACGATGTTGGGTATGTTTTCCACCTATGGACCACGTTCGTTGGAAACTTATGGACCGACAAGCCTATCTTAATTTCCTACATGATCGTTGACACAGCTTTCTCGCAGGCCTCTCTTATTTCTGCAGTGTTCATAACGTGTGAAAGATTTTACGCCATACGTTGGCCGTTTAAGCATCGAAACTTATCGACACAAGCATACCGCATAGCTATTTTCCTAGTGTGGGTACTAGCTTTCCTTATTTCCGCAACCGTGACCGGTTCATACCTATTATTTTCTTACAAGTACACTATGTTTTTTTGGGGGCCATACACTTTGATTCTCATTTTAATCACATGTGGCTGTAATATTGGTATCTGGAAAAAGTTTAAAACTGGAAGAGTCGCCGCTTCACATCAAGAAAGCCGAGAATTTCAAAACAAGCGCTTAACAAAGACTTTGTTAATTGTATCTGGCCTTACTTTACTCGCTTGGCTGCCGCTAGTTTTGTCAAACTTTCTAATGGATGTATGGTTTTTCCATGTACCAAGACGATTTTATGATATGGTAAACCTTTTCAACTACTTCAACTCCTTTGTCAATCCAATTTTTAACGCATTAAGAATTGCTGAGTTTCGACGAGCACTGGCTTTATGTTGTACAGGAAGACATGTGCAAGCAGCTGTAAACACAAAGCTTTCTAAAAGAAGGAAAGAGAGGCACGGAACGACTGAGTTTAGTCGTGAACTGGCTCTTGAACAAGATGTTATGGATACTGAGATTAGTCATGAAGTGGCTTTTGAACAGAATGTTATGGATACCAAAATGTAAAACACATAATTCACTGGCTAGAAACTCGATTAAAATGAAATAAGTAGAACACGAGCTGAATATTTTAATGTCAGGAAGTTGAAGTTAAAAACCTAGTAACGCCTCTAAAATGACGGAAATGACAACGGTAGTGTTAAGTAAAAATTGTTCAAATTAACGAGACAAGACGAGACTGTGTCTCGGTTGACAACTTCCAGAGTCATTACCGGTTAGGTATATTTTCTAAAGAAACCAGGACTTCAGAAACAACAAATTTTTACAGTGATGAAATCTTCTAACCGGGATAAGAAATTGACCTAAAATCGAGAGATGTCGAGTATAAACAGAAGAAATCAATTTTTTGAACGTGTGTGAAAAAAAAATGGCGATTACCGTCAGATGATATTCGATATATGCTAAATTTTGGCAGGTATTTATGTTTGAGGTTGTTTAGAAACTTTTTAATTAACTAAACGAATATGGGGGACGGATGTTCCAAGCTTTTCAAACACGACCTGGAGGCTAAGAAAGTAGACCGAAATAACACTTTTGAAAACTTACTTGCTTGAAAAAGCTTGAATTTACGGAAGATTCCAGAGGAAATATATCCTTAGATAAACTATTTGAACATGTGTCATTAAAAAAAAGCATTACAGGAAGACAGTATGTACTCTCTACCAGTTACCGTAAATAGAACGAATATATCAATAGCTTTCTGAAGGATAAAATTGTCAGCAAGTTAGAGATTGATTAGAGAACGTCAAGAAACGCAGTTGGTAATACAGTCAAACCTGTATTTAACGGGGAATGGCGGATTGACCGCCTAAATACAGGTTCCACAGAATAGAGATGTTGTAACAAACGATAAAAAACGTCATTTTATATTCTAAGCGACAACCAAGAGAATATTTTTACAGAAATATTACCAACATTGATTTCGGGAGAAAAACATGGGGTAAGTTTTGCTTGAACTGAGAGAATTCTTAGTTTAATTTAAGTGGTTTCGCTCTGAGTGACCGTTCAATACAGGTGGAAATAATACAAACAAACCGCTAGGACTCAGTGAAGGGTGAGCACTACCGCTTAATAGAGGTGACCGCTTAATAGAGTTGAGAAATTACAGTAGTAAAGGGGAACAAATTTCGAGACTTTGAAAACCGACCGTTAGATACAGGGTGACCGCTTAATACGGTGCCACAACACTTCAATGCAATGCCATTGAGATTTTTTTGGCAAAGATGCGGTTAAAATTCTATTGTAGAGCATTGATTTTCTTCCCAGAATTTCCGCAGTATCAAGTGTTTCTTTTCTTTTTTTTTGCGCCTATATCTGTTGACTCACGCAACGGATATCGCTGAGAATGAGGGACTGCTTGACGACAGAAAGGGAACCGCTTCACAGCGCTCTATGACCTTATGACCTTTTGATTCTTTCTGATGCTCGCTGGTTCTCCTGTGATAGAGGACATTCCTCACAACTGAACTATTAAAGGTTTATATTGACAGATATTCTGAATACTCCTACGTTTGCTCTTTGTATGTAACTGATGTTTCACATTTACCCCTGAACACCAGTCTTTTCAATGACGGAGGGTGGAGAATTTTGAGGGGGATCGCATAGTTTTTACAATGCGGTGGAGGGGGGTCAGTCGTCAGCAACGAAGTTATAAGGGGGGAGGGGGGACTACAGAAAGTAATTAATTTTCTATTTCATTATTCGTTTCCCGTTGTTTCTTTCATTTTTAACTGTAATGATTACAAGGTTCCGAAGGAATAGCAGCGGATCAGTTTGTAAAGCTTGAACTTTGAAGTTAGACAACGTAAATTGATTGCTCTCGACTTTTCGGATACTTAATGCAAATTCAACATCAACCAGTAATCGAATGTAATGCACAACTCACGTCACTGCGTGACCTCATATCCTCTCCAAAAGGACACTGTCACTCAATCAATCAATGATTACATATAAACAAGTTATACATATTTTCTTATTTCTTTTACCAACCAATTTACTTCGAACATCTTAATTAAAAAGAGCAATAAGACATTACATATTTACTGGATCTTTTACCAAAATATATGGACGTGATTTGCATAGTTCATTTAAGCGATAGTAGTGCCGTAAAACCAGACTAATATCTTCGACACGCACACTCAAGAATTTAATATTTATTTATTAGCTGTTCGGCACTTGGGAGATATATTCCCACAAACAAAATACAAACAATGATTACGGTTACCCATTGCAATAGATTTCATCTGCTTTATTACTTTAATTACATACAATACGATCGGGAAAGGGATTATGCCGACAGAAACATCTGCCATTATTTTACCGTAAAATTTTTGCTTAAAACTCACCTTTTATAAATGTAAATATTTTGTAAATTTCTGGTACTGATGTCGTCCGTTTTTAAAGTGTTTCTTTGAAATTTGGAAGCTGCACTCATATTTTGCAGATATTTGAGTATGTGTCGTGCACACTTGAAGAGGAAATAAATAGGATTAATATTGCTCAAATTTTGACAATTTCATGTTCAATTTAAAGTTAAATGACTTTGATAACCACTTGAATCAAACGAAAATCATGATTTTATGACAAAGGACAGACTTTAAATGAGAGGTTACAGAATTTGTTTGGAGAATGTTATTTTCCAAATTTTAATGTCTCTTTTCACGGCTGAACTCAAAGTCGGATGGGTTAGCCTCTGCAGGGACTTTGGATGTGCGGTGCGTCATGATCTACAAGCTGAAAAAAAAAATTCTCGGTGGGTGCTTCTTGGTAATGGGGATGTACCGCTGGATGAGATGGTATTTTTCACGACTGGATTGACTATATCAATAGAGTTACTAGAATAAGTTCGCACATTTTCGGGATTTTAAGAGTGAAAAAATTGCTTTAAGTAAGGATGTGAAAATGGTAAGAACCAAATGCACCAGAATATTTGTATTATTGTTCCGCAGGTAAAAGTTTCAAATGCACCAAAATGTTTTTAATGTAGGTGAAAAATCAAGTGATCTGCATCCTGTTTAACAAATAGATTAATTTGTTATAGGATGATCTCCTTAACAGGCTTTATAAAGTAGATGCAATGCCAGAAAGTGACTAAGTTGGGATCAGGAAAATCACATATGCCTAAACGTGATTGCAATGGTGTCTATAATTGGCCACGGAATAGGTTGAGAGGCCAGCGGTACATACTCGGTAAAAATTGACCAAAGTACCCCCCCCCTCTCCTAGGACCTGGCTCTATTTCAAACCAAGACCCACACTCGTTTTCAAACTTGGTCTCTAAAAGTTGAACTTGGTTCGCGCTTAGCATAAGTACGCGTCAGAGCCAAAGACAAACTGGTAAATTTACCTCAAAAATTCAGCTCGAATGACGAAATTTAATATTATTGTCTTTCCCTTTGGTTTCATCGGAGTTGAAGCGAAAATGACTTGAGTATGTCATCCGAAATGTCATCCTCTTGCAGACTACCATCAATTTACGACCAGAATGATCAAATCCATATACGTTTTCCGATCGATGAATAGGGTATATTTATTTTCACGACTGGAGTTGACTATAAACTGGATTGCGTTTTCAATAGAGTTGATATATTGTACAGACAAGGGTGCCGCTTATGGGAAAAAGTTATTAAAAACCGTGCTGATCTCAATTAGATGTCGAACTCGGTCTTTACCATTTAAACTTTTCAAATCTTTGCTAAAAAAAAAACAAAAAAAACCTGCACTTCAATGAACAACGGTTCAACCGACTCGGAGCCCAGTACACTGACCACTGGACTGAACAAAAATGACTCTTTGAATCAGTTGACCACGCATGTTAAAAGTACCACCTTGTACGGTCGTACGGTCGTACATCCAAATTTTTTCGGCTTGATGGGTTACTACTATTTTGTATAATTATGGGGCTACGCTCTGCGAGCTCCGCTATAATGCGGTAGGGGTTCTGATAGGTCAGCAGCCCATACGCAACAAAAAATGATCCTATTTTCAAATTCCCCTCCCCCAAGCTCAAAACCCATTGCCTTAGGCGGTGCATGTCCATGTATCCTATGTGGAGGAGTCATGGGCTCCTCATGAATTAATTTCTGTCAGATTAGGGGATCCCGTTTAATAGATGTTCCAGCAGTGGAGCAGCGATGTTTTTATTGTAATCAATTTCTTTTTCCGCATAATACTGCCTCCCCCCTCACCCCGACTTTGTTTCTGCAGTCGTTGTAGTCAAAGAGTGTTTACATTAAAGAGGTCGGGAAGCTTAGTTTAACCTTTAAACTCCCAGAAGTGCTCAACATGTAACTTCTCTCTACAATATTCACACATTATCCAGCAGAAATGTAATTCTTGTAACTAATTTACAAGGAAATGTGTAGTAGTTAGTACGTAATGGAAGGGTTGCCTCGGCTGCTTTAAAAATGCCAATTTTTTTCCCCGCGAGGTCATGAAAACCAATTTGAAATGAGAAAGTCCAATATTGGAACTGAAATGGAGAGTTTCTCCATTATTTATGATAAATTAAACCGTTGGTCATTGAAGTCCAGGTTTTTTTTTTTTTTTTTAACAAAGATTTGAAAAGTTTAAATGGTAAAGACCGAGTTCGACATCTAACTGAGATGAGCACAGTTTTTAATAACTTTTCCCCATAAGCGGCACCCTTGTCTGTACCGTAAGGCGAAATCCAAACACAGGGCCTGTTTGCGGGATAAACAAACGGCGGTGAGAGCTCTTCATCTATGTAACAATGGCTCACCAATCAGAACGCGCACACTTATACAAGCACCGCACTGAGGGAAAACAAACACTTTAAGTGACAGCTGCAGGTGCATGTTAAAACATGCATCACTTTTATTAAATTTACAAAGAGAAAAAGACTTCCTCCTCCGCAACTCAATGGGCGATCTCTGTCATCAATAAGGTGTCACAGTCAGTGGAGTGCTTGCATTCGTAATTGGTCAGTGAACAGTAAAGAGGCACAAAACATATGTTGTACCCTGGCTTCTTTATCGTTGTCTCAGTATCATCTCAAAATGAACAAAACGTCCTCGTCGTCTTCTGCTGGTGTCAGCCGACTAAATGATACAAATGATGCATATTATGGTACTCAGGTGGAAGGCATTGCATTGTGCAGCGCTTTAACGCTAACATTTATTCTAGTTGTCGTGGGAAACTTACTCACCATAGTTATTTTTGCGAAGAACAAAAATATTCGCAAGAAATATTTGTTTCTAGTCGTCAACATGGCGTATGTGGATATGTTCTTAGGAGCTTTGAGTTTACCAGTATACATTTACGATGTCGGGTATGAGTTCCACCTATGGACCACGTTCGTTGGAAACTTATGGACCAACAAGCCTATCTTAATTCCCTACATGATCGTTGACACAGCTTTCTCGCAGGCCTCTCTTATTTCTGCAGTGTTCATAGCGTGTGAAAGATTTTACGCCATACGTTGGCCGTTTAAGCATCGAACATTATCGACACAAGCATACCGCATTGCTATATTTTCAGTGTGGGCACTAGCTCTCCTTATTTCTGCAATCTGGACCGGTTCAAACCTGTTATTTTCTTACAAGTACATTATGTTTTTTTGGGGGCCATACACTTTGATTCTCATTTTAATCACATGTGGCTGTAACATTGGTATTTGGAAAAAGTTTCAAACTGGAAGAGTCGCCGCTTCACATCAAGAAAGCCGAGACTTACAAAACAAGCGCTTAACAAAGATTTTATTAATTGTATCTGGCCTTACTTTACTCGCTTGGCTGCCGCTAGTTTTGTTAAACTTACTAATGTATGTTTGGTTTTTCCATGTGCCAAGACGATTTTATCATGCAGTAAACCTTTTCAACTACTTGAACTCCTTTGTCAATCCAATTTTTTACGCATTAAGAATTGCTGAGTTTCGACGAGCACTGGCTTTATGTTGTAGAGGAAGACATGTGCAAGCAGCTGTAAACATAAAGCTTTCTAAAAGAAGGAAAGAGAGGTACAGAACGTCCGCTGAATTTAGTCGTGAACTGGCTTTCGAACAGAATGTTCTGGATACCAAACTGTAAAACACATAATTCAAACGCTAGCTGGAACTCGATTAAAATGAAATAGATAGAACACGAGCTGAATATTTTAATGTCAGGCAGTTGAAGTTAAAAACCTAGTAATGCCTCTCAAATGATGGAAATGACAACGGTAGTGTTAAGTAAAAATTGTTCAAATAAATGAGACATATAATTAGGCACTATTCGTCTACATTTAAGTCGGCAATACATGACAGGATAAGAACTGTGTCTTAGTTGACAACTTCCAGGGTCATTACCGGTTAGGTATATTTTCTAAAGTAACCAGAACTTCAGAAACAGCAAAGAAGGAAGAAAAATGAATGAATCGCAGAAAAGCGCAAAATATAATTATGATATTAGGTTGTAGATTTATTCCATTTTCGGGAAACAGCTTCGTCAGCTCTTATGACATGGAGCCCTCTGCTTTACTGTTTCCCTTTTTTATCGTGTTTTATAGTTGTTTGTTTTCTGTCTTTTTCATTTTTGATTCACCTTAGTAAAACTGACGGGAACGCTGGCTCTTTGCCCGATGGTAATAAACAAGAGAATAGTTTGCCAGTTTCTCCCATTGATTGCTGACTCACACAGAGAAATGCTTGCTCATTTACACATAATACTAAGTGAGGACTTTCTATTTCTTGTTAAATATACTAGACAAGGCAGAAAAGTACTATAAAACGTTTTAATCTGCATGATAAAGGATTTGTAAAGATAAAGAGCTCGATCAGATGTACCAAAGATGTCTGCACAAAGACACCTTATGGTATAGGGTACGATCACAAAAGAAACAGTTCAAAATATAAACTATAAGATAAGTATACGATTACTATAACATTAGTATACGATCGTGTGTTAAAAACAAGTGACACACGAAGCAGAGGCGAGGATGTCATTAATCACGTTCTTACCTTATTTTGACATCTTCTGTAATCTATTACTGTAGAGATCCACGGCAACCTGGAATATATTTGTCGTATATGACTAATATATACTTCCTCTAATCTGAGAATACATTATAACGAAGAACCAATCAAGATGCATGTATCATTCATTTTATCGCTTCGATATTCATATGCAGTCGTCAAAATTTGGAGTGGAAAAAGTAATTCATACTTATCGTTACATTAAAATGTAAATCTCACCATTTCAAGGACTCACGCTGATGCATTTGCATTAAGTATGGGAAGTGAAGCGATGAAATCTCCTAAGCAGGGTGGGGAATTGACCTAGCTAGAATAGAGAGATGTTGGGTATAAACATAAGACATCAATTTTTTGAACGTGTGTGAAAAAAAAAAGTTATTACCGACAGGTATTTATGCTTTAGGTTTTTAGGAAACTTTTCATAAATTAAATGAATATGGAGGGACAGATGTTCCAAGCTTTTCAAACATATCCTGGAGGCTAGGAAAGTAGAACGAAATAAAACTTTTGACAACTTACAGTTTTAATAGTCGCCTGAAAAAGCTTGAATTCACGGAAGGTTCCAGAGGAAATATATCCTTAGATAAACTATTTGAACATGTGTCAATAAAAAATAGCATTAAAGAAGACAGTTTCTACTCTCTACCCGTTACCCTAAGTAGAACGAATATATCAATAGTTTTCTGACGAATGAAACTGTCAGCAAGTTAGAGATTGATTGGAGACCGTCAAGAAAAGCAGTTGGTAATACAGTCAAACCTGTATTTAACGGGGAATGGCGGATTGACCGCTTAATTCAGGCTGACCGCTTAAATACGGGTTCCACAGAATAGAGATGTTATAAAAAACGATAAAAAATGCCATTTTATATCATAAGTGACAACCAAGATAATATTTTTACATTCTTTTGCTGACCACTTAATGTAAAAAAACTTGCGCAAAAATACTACCAATATTGATTTCGGGAGAAATAAATGGATTAAATTTTGCTTGAAAAAGAATTCTTAGCTTAGTTTGAGTGGTACGATTCCGCTCTGAGTAACTGTTCAATACAGGTGGATGATAATACAAACAAGCCGCTAGGACTCAGTGAAGGGTGAGCACGACCGCTTGATAGAAGTGACCGCTTAATAGAGTTGCGAAATTACAGTAGTAAAGGGCAACAAATTTCGGGACTTTGAAAACCGACCGTTAGATACAGGGAGACCGCTTAATACGATGCCGCTTTATACATGTAGGTTCGACTGTACTTGGCTTTCCAAATTCAGCTTGAGACGCTTCAAAGCTAACGGTCGAAGAATTATTCAACCGAGGGAGGATTTTAACGACCTGAAGAGGCTAAAAAAAAAAAAAAATAACACAGCACTTCAGTGCAATGTAATTGAGATCTTTTGGCAAAGATGCGCTTAAAATTTGGTTGTAGAGCGTTGATTTTCTTCCCAGAATTTCCGCAACGGATATTGCTAAGAATGATGGACTGCTCGACGACTTAGGTTGGTCTTCTGTGTTATAAAGGTGGTCACCAATGGCTAGCTTAACTTCGTAGAAACTCTCATTGATAGGTGAGTTTTTTGGCAAAGAGGGTCGGTTTCAGTTTCTTCCAATTTTGGAGGTATATTAGTGTTAACAACTGAGTTGAAAACGTAATTGGCCACCGTAAAGGCAGCTAATTTTATTGAATTCCTTTCACCTTTTAGGTGGCTAATTTACGTTTTCAACTCAGTTGTTAACACTAAATTACCTACTATAACCTCCCACCGACGCAGCACCACAGTTTCTTTAGAAACTTATCCCTTTATTCATTTGTCCAATTTTGAAACCGAGAGTTTTATGATAAATTGAACCTTTGCTCAGTGAATTGCAGGTTTTTTTTCTTTTTCTTTTTCTTTTTTTTCTTTTTTCTGTAGCAAAGATTTGAAAAGTTTAATTGGTAAAAGACCAAGTTCGACATCTTACTGAGATCAGCAGGGTTTTTAATAACTTTTTGCCATAAACGGCACCCTTTTCTGTGCCGTAAGGCGAAATCCAAACACAAGGCCTGTTTGCAGGATAAACAAACGGCGGTGTGAGCCGTACATCTATTTAACAATGGCTCACCAAAAGCGCACATTTACACAAGCACCATGCTTTGGGGAAATTAACACTTTTAAGTGACAGCTGTAGGTGCCTGTCAAAACGTACACCTACAGCTGTCACCCATTACTTTTCAGTAACAACGGTCATAAAGATCACCATTTTTATTAAGAGAAATTTACAAGAGATAAAAAAAAACTTCATTCTCTGCAATTTAATGGGCGATCTCTGTCATCAATAGGGTGTTACAGTCAGTGGAGTGCTTGCATTCGTAATTGGTCAGTGAACAGTATAGAGGCAGAAAACATATGTTGCACCCTGGCTTCTTAATCTTTATCTCAGTATTTCTCTCTTCACATCAAGAAAGCTGAGACTTACAAAACAAGCGCTTAACACAGACTTAATTAATTGTATCTGGCCTTACTTTACTCGCTTGGCTGCCGCTAGTTTTGTTAAACTTACTAATGTATGTTTGGTTTTTCCATGTACCAAAACGATTTTATCATGCGGTAAACCTTTTCAACAACTTCAACTCTTTTTTTAATCGAATTTTTAACGCATTAAGAATTGCTGAATTTCGGCGAGCACTGGCTCTATGTTGTACAGGAAGACATGTGCAGGCAGCTGTAAACACAAAGCTTTCTAAAAGAAGGAAAGAGAGGCACGGAACGACCGCTGAGTTTAGTCGTGAAGTGGCTTTCGAACAGGATGTTATGGATACTGAGTTTAGTTATGAACTGGCTTTCGAACAGAGTGTAATGGATACTGAGTTTAGTCGTGAACTGGCTTTCGAACGGGATGTTATGGATAGCTAGAAACTCGATTAAGACGAAAATAGGTAGAACACTAGCTGAATATTTTAATGTCAGGAAGTTGAAGTTAAAAGCCTAACAATGCCTCTAAAATGATGGAAATGATAATGGTAGTGTTAAGTATAATTATTCAAACAAATGAGACATTGAATAAGGCACCATTCTTTCACGTTTCAATTTAAGCATCGAAGAAAAGGCCTCGTCTATATAATCACGCCTTTATGTTTCTACTTATCTCAAAGAATGTTATGTATGTGTATGTAATAGAGTCTTAAAGTGAGATTATGAGTTTGAGAGTTGATAGTCTGCCGAAGAGGTCTAATTTTTATCATTATTATTATTCAAGCGAATAGAAGAAAACACAACTGAGGGGAGCGCGAAGCGCGAGTTACAAGTAAGGGGAGCAGGGGCACACAAAAACAATAACTAGTCATTTTTTCGCTTCTTCCCCAGTCTTTCCTAACCCTTACTTACATCTTAAAGATATTGGACTATGGCAGAAAAGTAGTATAAAACATTGTAATTTGCATGATAAAGAATCCGTAAAGATAGAATTCGAACAGATGTACCAAAGGTTTTGCACAGACTCCATATGTTATAGGGTACGATCACAAAAGAATCAGTTCAACAAATAAACTATTAGATTAGTGTACGATCACAGATGACGCGATCGAAACTTTTCGATTGTCACATGATGTGACAAGAACAGAAAAGTGAGTATGTGTATGTAATAGAGTCTTAAAGTGAGATTATGAGTTTGAGAGTTGATAGTCCGCCGAAGAGGTCTAATTTTTATCATTATTATTATTCAAGCGAATAGAAGAAAACACAACTGAGGGGAGCGCGAAGCGCGAGTTACAAGTAAGGGGAGCAGGGGCACACACAAAAAATAACTAGTCATTTTTTCGCTTCTCCCTCAGTCTGTCCTGACCTTTGCTTACATCTAATACTCAGAGAGGACTTTCCATTTCTCATTAAAGATATTGGTCAATGGCAGAAAAGTAATGTACTGAAAACATTGTAATTTGTATGATAAAGAATCCGTAAAGATAAAGAGTTCGAACAGATGTACCAAAGCTGTTTGCACAAAGACTCCATACGTTATATGCAGGGTACGATCACGAAAAAATAGTTTCTATTTCACAGTGGCTCACCAATCAAAACGTGCACATTTACACAAGCACCATGCTGAGGGTAAATAAACACTTTTAAGTGACAGCTGCGGGTGCATGTCAAAACATGCACCTACAGCTGTCACCAATTACTTTTCAGTTATAACGGTCATAAAGATCTCTTACGAATAGAAATTTACAAATTAAAAGAAAAGAAATTCCTCCTCTGCAATTTAATGGGCGATCTCTGCCATCAATAAGGTGTCACAGTCAGTGGAGAGCTCGCATTCGTAATTAGTCAGTGAACAGTAAAGAGACACAAAACAAATGTTGTACCCTGGCTTCTTAATCGTTATCTTAGTATCATCTCAAATGATACAAATGATGCATATGATGGCACTCAGGGGGAAGGCATTGCATTGAGCAGCGCTTTAACGCTAACATTTATCCTAGTTGTCGTGGGAAACTTACTTACCATAGTTATTTTTGCGAAGAACAAAAACATTCGCAAGAAATGTTTCTTTCTAATCGTCATATGGCATTCACGTTCTAATGCACTTTTTCAATGCGATTTCTTCCTTCAAAATAGTTCTTTAATGCAACAATATGAAAATTTCGTCATTAGATGACATCCAGAAACTCGAAGCAAAAGATCGCAGGGAGATTCTAAAATCTAATTTAAAATCGACGGGCTGAATTAGAGCCGACTTAGTGTCGAAAGTTTATGCTTTGCTGATGTGACACGTCCTTCCATCGAGTAGTGGAGACAACCGAGAACTTCTTACAGATTTCCAGGACCTAGAACAAAACCAGAGCGACTTCAGATACGAAGCAACTATGGTAAGGATCTCAGCCCTTGGATGGTCGAGCGATCTCCGTAATTTACCTGAGATTAATTTCATTCAGCTTTACGATTACCCCGTTGTTTCACGAGAATATCGCCACATCGTGTGAGAGGAACGCATTACAGGAAGTACCACAGAAGCTGTTCAGTATGGCCTAGAAAGCGAGGCAAAGGCTGCCGCCCTCTAGGTAGAGGAAATTTGTCATTGCTGCTGTTGTTGATGTGGTACTTGTTGTTGTACCATATTCTTCAGTTAAAATTGTTCCCATTTTGTTCACCAAGATGTATTTTAGTTTACCATTTGTACATTGTATCTTATGGGAAACTATACAATGGAGCCTGTAGAACCACTTGATTATAACCCTTCTAACCTTCAACCCATGAGGAAAACTGTAACTAACAGATGTCATAATATTTTCATACCCATCTGGCCCAGGACAACTTATGCTTGTGATACATTGAAAACCATTTCAGTTCGCGACTCATGATAATTTATTAGGTGGCAAGACACCATTGAAAGAATCAGACCAAAATATTAGACAATCTAAAAACCCCCAAAAGAGACTGATTCATATAACTTCTCCCTAAAATATCCCAACACTATCCAGAAAACAGATAATGATCATACTGAAACTTATCAAGCAGAAGTTATCTTGATCTTACAGCAAATTCTCATAACTTATTTACAAGTAAATGTGTAGCAATTAGAAGAGAGAATTAACAATCAGATCTTGGGTATTTAAGGTTTAAAGGAAGAGAACAGAAATGCTTCCTCTCAGCTACTGATCTCAACAATGCTAGTCCTTTACACACATTTAAGTTTCTGTCTGTGATAAACATTCAGTGAATTGATATTTCCGTTCTTAGCACTCAGAGGCCTTCTGACACAAAGGTTTGCTTCACTAGTTCTTATTGCATTGTGTTAACCAATGTTATGATATAATTTTGAGATGTAAAGAAGATATTTAAAAGATTGAGAAATATATCCAAATCAAGATATTTATTTTATACTGTTACAGTTACCATAAGATTTGTTTGAAAGAGAAACTTTCAGACCATCGAAATGTAGGCGCCTGTTACCAGGCGATAACTACATCACCCTACGAGCCTAAGATCTGGAAACGCTACGTGGACGATACCTTTACCATCCTAGATCGCGAAAACGTAGATGACTTCTTACAGCATTTAAACAACCAGCAGTCTTTCATCCCCTTCACCATGAAGACAGAGAAAGACGACAAACTCGCCTTCCTAGACACAGCAGTTTTAAGAGAACCTGACGGCCGCCTCACCACCAGCGTATACAGGAAGCCCACGCACACCGATCAATACTTAGCGTATGATTCACACCACCCCCAATCAGTAAAACGCGGTATTGTTAAGTGCCTTTATGAGTGCACCAAACGTCTCGTAACAAAACCCTCCGTCATATCCGAGGAGAAAAAAAACATCTGGCATCTGTTTTGGTTTCTAATGGTTATCTTTTTTTTTTCTTGAAGAAACTTACCAAGACCGGAAAACCAAACGACAATGCCGAACCCGCCAACGAGTTTAAAGCTACTGCAGTTTTACCTTATGTCAAAGGTCTGTCCGAACAGCTTCGCCGTTGCCTACAACAACAAGGCGTACGCGCTGTTTACAAGTCGGAGACTACGCTAAGATCTCAGTTAGTGCGACCAAAAGACGCTGTCGACCTGGCTAAACAAGATGGCGTAGTTTACAGGATTCCCTGTGAATGCGGCAAGGTACGGAGAGACTGCAAGACCTATGCAAGACAGAATTAATAAGCACGATCGAGACATTCGACTCGCCCGTACCGAGACCTCCGCCGTTTCAGAGCATGCCCACAACACCGGACACAAACCACTCTGGAATGAAGTTAAGTTTATTGATCGTGACCTTTATTACTACACGGGCAGAGTCAAAGAGGCCATTCATATATGACTTCACCCTAACAACATCAACAGGGATAGTGGAATAGAAATTCCAGAAGCGTGGATGCCCACGATCAAGAAACGCAACAACAAGAGAGCCGTGCGACAGCGGACCGCCGAGGGAGCAAATCACTGAGTGAACAGCAAGGATCGAAATGCACCAATTAGAGCTGTTGAAAAACAACTAATCACAACAGAGCGTCATGCTTTATAAGATCACGCATGACCATTCGACCTCATTGCCTGAAGAAGACTAGTAATATGTAGTCGAAACGCCGCGATCTACATCACACGTGACTACATCATGAGACAAACGAAAAACTTAGCTTTTATTGTTATTCACCACGGTGAATAACCACAACCTTTTCTACGAAATTAGGTCATTTCTTGGCTAACCTGAGGTCCCGAAGAGTTTGACATCATGGCAGAATTACCAAAGGCAAAGGTCAGTCGCCGTACTGCTAAAGCGTCACTGACTAGGGCTGGAAAATCGCTTTGCAGCATGATGAAAAGTAAGCGCCCAGCATCCGAGGTAAGAGAATCATTTGTTAAATCGCAAGAGGCTTATGAAAAGCTCGTCGTGAAGCATGAAGATGTTACCCAGCTGATGGAAACTGATAAGGAATTTGCAAAGGAAGAAGAATAGCTTGAAGAGTCTCTAGAGATGTTTATCAGATTAGAAATTCGTGCAAAGGAATACAT